TGGAAAAGGCATGCTTATGAAATTATATATATGGTAGATTATCTTTTAAGATGTGTGGTATTTTATAGGTGCCTTTTGACTTGTACCTTTCGTAATAAGACCTTGTGATGTAATCCATTAATCAGTCATCCGTAAGAGATTGATTGCTTGAAATCACCTGAGGTTGTCAATGTCCCTTTTATCACTGTTATTCCTACTGCCCATTAACAACAGTGATCTAGTCCTCATTGTACCTTCCTTAGTGCCTTGGGACACACTGGCATTTTTTTCTATGTGAAGATGCTGGACACTCTTTTTCACCACCCTAGCCTGACATTGATACCTTTGTTATATGTTCGTTAACTTCATGTGGATGAAGGTTCACAATTTTTTTTCTTTTTTTCTCCCCCTGGTTTACTGTACTCAAGGGGAAGCATAATGGAAGTGTAGCGGAAATTACTATGTTTGTAGAATGAAACAGAGAGAAGTATGTCCTCATGAATGCAGTAAAAGGATGGACTGACTCATAGCGAAATAGCTGATAATCTCCTATGTTGTTGGGAGACACCTCTGGCAGCATAATGGACTTGTGAAAACTCACAAAAGACACCCGTTGTAAGACAGGAGGGGAGAACAGTGGAGAGGGGAAAGGGAAACCCCAGTGCCTATTAAACGGTGTCATAAAACAAAAAAAAAGTTCATAGAAAATGCATATTATCAGAAGACTATGAATTTCAAAAAATTTACACCTAAACAAACTCATCCTTTAATTCTGCTTCTATGAGCTTTTAAAAATGCCTATTGCTTTTATATTTAGGAAAAGTTTGAATTCTATGCTATATTGCTAATCATCTCAGCACTTGTTTTTTTTTTTTTTTTTTAATGATTTATTATTTGAAAGGCAGAGTCTTAGAATGAGAGAGAGAGAGAAGATAGATAATGAGAGAGAGAGAGAGAGAGAGCGTGCTTCTGTCCTCTGGTTCACTCCCCCAGATCTTTTATCCTCTGGTTCACTACCCCAGTGACCACAACAGCTGGTATTGAACAGTGGAAGATGTGGCAGTTCCCTCGGCCCTTGCACTCATGTAGAAGATCCAGAAGAAACAGCTGGCTCCTGGTTTTGGATCTGCTCTGGGTCCAGGTCATAGGCAGGAAGCTGCATTGGAAGTGGAGCAGCCAGTATGTGAACTGGTACCCATATGGGATTCTGGCTTCACATGTGGAGGATTAGTTTGTCATGCCACCATGCCAACCCCTAATCTTAGTACTATAACCTTCATTTTATTTATGAATTTCTTTTAAAATTTTATTTACCTATTATTTAAAAGGAAGGAAAAGAGAGAGAGAGAGGAGACATAGATACAAAGGAGTTTCATCTGTGGATTCATTCTCTGACATTCTCACAGCAGCTGGGGCTAGGCCCTGCAGATGCCAGGATCCTGGAATTCAGTTTGGCTCTTCCATATGGGTGAGAGGGACCGAAGTACTTGAGCCATCACTTATTGGTTCCTAGGGTGCCCCTTAGCAGAAAGCTGGATCAAAAGCAGAGGAGCTAAGACTAGAATTCTGCACAGTCGTTATGAAATATGGGAGTTTTGTTAAGCTGCATTTAACCAGCTTCTCAGCTGCTATGTTAAATGCCAATCCCTCATCTTGCAATTTAGATGTTAGATATTTTCTTCCCTTTTTTCTTATCTCAGTATATAGTTTTCCATTATAATAGCATAACTAACCTAGATTCCTTATATCTTAAATGCGCTGAGAAGTTACAGATTCAGTTTGTCATAATAATAAAGGTTTAATGTGTGGGTTGTGACTTTGTGTCCTTAGATTATGATATCTTTGATTCAGTGCTTATTTGGCCTATTTTGATTGCAGATAACTGACAGTTTCACTTAGTCACTCTGTCAAAGATCTGGGTCTCTGTATTAGTGACAAAAAGCTCATAGTTTCTGAAAAGGATAATACAATTTACATATATCTTCTTCATGAATGTGTCAATTTTCTAGGGCTGCAATGTCTCAGACATGTGTTTTGTCCTAGTTCTGATGGCTAGAAGTTGGAGATCAAATTATTGGCAGGAAGGTTGGGCTTGATCTGAAGATCATTGACTTTCACTTTGCCACCCTCTTGCTGCCCTTTTCATTTGGTGATCTCTCTGCACCATTCACTGTGAGTTAAGGACCACTCCAATGACACCGTTTTAACTTTTTCTTTTAAAGATTTATTTATTTTTATTACGAAGTCGGATATACAGAGGAGGAGGAGAGACAGAGAGGAAGATCTTTCGTCCGATGATTCACTCCCCAGATTACTGCAACAGCCGGAGCTGCACCAATCCGGAGCCAGGATCCAGGAACTTCCTCCAGGTCTCCCACATAGGTGCAGAGTCTCAAGGCTTTGGACTGTCCTCGACTGCTTTCCCAGGCCACAAGCAGGGAGCTGGACGGGAAGTGGAGCTGCCGGGATTAGAACTGGTGCCCATATGGGATCCCGGGCGTGCAAGGCGAGGACTTTAGCTGCTAGGCCATGGTGCTGGGCCCATTATTTGAACTTAATTACACCATTAAAGACCTGTCTGCAACCATAGCCACATTCTAAAGAACTGAGGGTTTTTGCTTCAACATAGGATTTTTTGGTGGAGGTACAGTTGATTCTATAACGTTATATGTCATTTGTGGTAAGCTTTAAGGATAAGATTAGTATTGAAATTTTTTTAATGTGTTATTACAAAATGTTCCAGCATCCTAAAAGTGTTCTAGAATTACAGCAGTAGGTTTACTCCCCAAGTGGCCACAATGGCTGGATCTGAGCTGATCTGAAGCCAGGAGCCAGGAGCTTCTTCCAGGTCTCCCACATGGATGCAGTGTCCTAAGTCTTTGGGCCATTCTCAGCTGCTTTCCTAGGTCGTAATAAGGAGGCTGGGTGGGAAGTGGAGCAGCCAGGATATGAATTGGCTCTCATACAGGGGAATTCAGTTGTGCTAGAGGGATTTGGAAGGAGGGTAGGGGAAATCTCAGTTCCTGTGGAACTGTATCATAAAATGATAATGATAAGAAAATGAAAAAGCATACTACAAAGTTAATAAATAGTAGCTAAAACAGCTTGGGGGCTGACACCATGGCCCAAAAGGCCAATCCTCTCTACCAGCATCCCATTTGAGCACTGGTTTAAGTCCTGGCTGTTCCACTTCTGATCCAGCTCTGTGCTTGAGGCCTGAGAAAGCAACCGAGGATGGCCCAAGTCCTTGGGACTCTAGACCCACAGGAGAGAAATAGAAGAAGCTCCTGGTTCCCAGCTTTGGAACAACTCAGCTTTTGCCATTGTCTCCATTTAGGGAGCCAACCGGCAGATGGAAGACTTCTCTTTGAATCTCTCCTCTGTCTGTTAAATCTGCCTTTCAAATAAAAAAAATCTTTAAAATAAATCCAGCATGGTACTGGCATAAAAACTGACACCTACATTCATAGAACAGATAAGAGAGCTACGACATTAATGTAGGTACACATAGCCAACTGATTTTTGAGAAAGACCATACATTGGAGCAAGGATAATCTCATCAACAGGTGGTGCTATCAAGACTAGATGTATAGATGCGGAGGAATGAAATTAAGTCCATACCTGTCACCATACGCAAAATGAGCTTGAGATTAAGCAAAGACTATGAAGTTGCTGGAAGAAAATGTAGAGAAAATACTCCATGACACTGGTGTAGCTGACAGTTCTCGGGCAAGACCCTATAGCACAGGCAACAAGCAAAGCAAAAGGAATAATATCGGACTTGGCAGCTTGTGTACGGTAACAGAAACGATCAAAGGAATAGAGAGACATCTAAGAGAAGGCTGAAATATGTGTGAGCTGCTTATCTGACATAGGTTAATATACAGAAAGTATCAACCAACCAATCCAGCGGAGAAATGGTCAGAGTTCCCAAGAAATATAAATGACTAACAAATATATGGAAAAATGCTCAGTATCTCTAACCATCAGGAAAATGCAAATGAAAGCCATACTGAGGAGTCACCCTCAGCCCTAGCGAAATGGCTGAAACCCAAAAGACAAAGACTAAGAAATGCTGGCAAGGATGTGGAGAAGAAAGCACTTAGACTCTGTGAGTGGGATTGTAAATTAATGCATTTACTGTATAAAGCAATATGGAGATTTCTTCAAAAAATTAGAAATAGGCTTAGCAGATGATCCAGCAATCCCAATCAAGTATATAGCCAAAAGACATGAACACATTGGATCAAAGAGATGCCTGTAGTATCGTGGTTATAGCAGCACTGTTCTCAGTAGCCAAAACACGGAATCAACCCAAGTGTCCATTATCAGATAAATGGAAAAAGAAAATGTGATATATACAAAACAGAATATTATCCAGTAAAAAAAAAATGGGTGACATTTTACCATTTGCATCAAAATGGATGTAACTGGAGGACATGTAAAATGAAATAAGCTGGACACAGAAAGACAAATGCTGCCTATTCTACCTATGTGTGAGAGCTAAAATGAAAAAAACCCAAAAGAATGGAGTTAATGCGATAGCTCTTGCCTCTATTCCATTTAAGCTAGCATTGTTTTGCTTTTTAATTATTAAACTGCTTGTTGAAGGATTTTTAATATAATGTAAATCTTAAATATCTAAACTAAAAAAAAAAGCAAAGAGAATGGAAGGGAGGTTATCAGGGAAGAAGAGAATTTCATAGACTTAAAATTGCGTCTGTGAAATGTATTGGGCCTTTAAGAAACTAACTTAAAAATAAGCATTCTAAGCACTGCATTTTGTGTTTTGTTTTCCTTCTCCCTCTAGTGGGCAGAAGATATTTTAAAATCCCAGACTATACAGAATTGTATGATAAATATCAAACATTTTTTAAAAATTAAAAGATTGAAAGGAAAAAATACTACCATGAAGAGTTTATCAGTACCGAGTGTATCATAACACACTATTCTAGCTTTTGAAAAAAAATGAAGAAATGTCAGTGTTTCCAAATTAATGAAAATTCTTTATTTGTTTGTAGGCATAATAGTGGATCCTTGAATGTGGGAGATGTTCTTACCAGCTTTGACAATACAGGAAATGTTTGTAAGTTATATACTAATTCTTATAGAAATCTATTTAATGTTTTAAAAAGTGAATTTATATGTGTTGTGTTTTTATCACTAATGTTTATTATACTCACAAGTGTGTGTATATATATGGCACACATATATACATACTATATATATATATAAAATAGTATATATGTATGTAAAAGTTTGTGTGTGAATGTGTGCACACCTGGCAAAAATTCATCATCGTTGGTTGGGAAATCAGTCTGATATAAGGTGCATGCTGAATAAGTGACAGTGGTGTTTACATATTTTCAGGGGTGTGTGTGTGATACAATGTAGGTCAGAAGTAATTCCAGAGCCTCCAGGTGTGCCCCTTTCATATCCCATTTTGACCTTAATTAATCCAACAGAGGAACAGTTTTGTGCTTTGCTGTGTTCCGATGCTACTATCCTTTAATATCAGAGCATATTTGTTTTATGTCATATCAGAATATTTTAGAATATACTCACTTCTTTTCTGATTAAGTGGGAAAGATTTGTCTACTAGGAGAGCACCTTCAACAATTCTAAAATAACGACATATGATGAAAATTAGCCAAGAATATCTTTATGTCCCTGACTTGCACAATATATCAAGGTAGGGATCTGTGTATTTCCTCACATTTGTTGCATAGGATATTTCTCATAAAACAGTAAATTGATAGTGAGATGCAAATATTTTAAATGTAGTAACAGTACTCTTCCTCAAAGGGTTTTCCAGAACCACTTCAATAACATTTTGTGGGTACTGTTGTTTTATCAAGTGCATATCTATGTAGAATAATATCCAGCAAAAGCCAGGTGATGATTTTCTTATCCCTAGTTATGAAAAGCTTTTGGTAGTGTAGAAACATTTTTATCCATTTGGTCACTCTGGGATCTGTGAAAGCCCTGGAATGACCACAGAATAACATAATGTGAATTTCCTTTTCATGGCCAGTGGCTGATAGGCCTTTTACCTGTTGGTGTTGGCACTGAATTCTTTCCCACTTAGACACATCTCGTACTTCTAGTGGATGAGATGAGGACTGGGCAGGAGATGCTGATGATGGTGGAGGAGAACTTTAATTCCAGGTTATAGGAAACTTCATCCAGTTTGGTTTGCACATACATAATTTCAGCATGTGGTCCTTCCATATAAGAATCTAGGAAGTACTATAAAAATCAAGTGTTGTCCCCATGACTCAGTGTGAAGCCAAAGTAATATCCTAAAGGTCTAACTTAGTATTTCACACACAAATAGCCGTTGGACCCTTCTGTCATAATTTTACCCCATCAGCCTGTCCCCCTGTGCCATTATATTGTTGTGTTGACAGCAGAATTGCTTGTTAGGATTTTTTTTTTCCTGCTGTTCTGTTGATTGGTAGGAGACTCTTAGAGTGAGACTGACCTGTATTTCGATACTGGCTCTGAAATTTACCTTAAACAATTTTTATCACCTTTGTGAGTCTCAGTTTTTATCATTTCTTAGGACTGTTAATGTATAGATTCTCTAACTTGCTATATTCCTAAGAGTTGACAGTTGGAAGCTGTTTGTTAATTATCACTGGTGATGAGCACTTTCAACTTCCTTTGTTTTTATTTTCTAATAAAGAGATAATATTAAGAGTTAGTTATGTGTGTGTGTGTTTTTTAAGGACAGGAAAATGTTTAATTGAAAAAATTGCTATATATTGAAAATATGCATTACAAATTATTACATACCTCCATAGCATTCCCTTCCACCAACATATCGTGTTGCTTTAAAAATTACACTTACTTTAAAAATTATACTTACTTTGATTGAATTCATAGAACAAAGTTTACATAAAATTATAAAAATAGTAATTTATTAAAATATCTTATTGCAAATAGTCTTAATTATGAGTGTGTTGAAAAATGACAGAAGTGGTGACTAAAATAATACTTAAATTGTTTAATGTAGCTTTTATATTTACCCATTTTTATTTTAAAATAAATAAAATCTCTGCTGATATCACTTGGTCATAAATTAATAAAATACCATCCCAGTAAGTACTGACTAAATAAAGTACATTTAGTTTAAGTGTATCATGGATTTAAAAGTTATTTGTTTTAATTAAGTACGTGAGAAACAGGATTTCATTATGGTTGGGATGTGATTTGAAAGCCCAGCAGAGGGCACCACAATCACAGTTCTTACTCAAGCCTGACGCAATTAAGATAAATTGAATGACAACTGTAAGCTTTCACTGTGTAAACATATAAAAATATTTACATAAATGTATTAAGATACAAAAAAGACTTTTTCCAGGCTGTTTTTTAAATTTCAATTTGACTATTACTTTTGTTTTAAACATCAATTTAATTTTTGTATTTCTAGTATTATAAAAAATGTTTTAGTTTTGTTTAGTTAATCCTGATAGAGCGTGAAAATTGTAAATAAAAGTAGTAATACTCTGCAAATCATTACCATGCTAGTACACTGAGTATGTTCAGAAGGAGGAGAAAAATTTCTGATACGAGTGAACCAAAAGATGTCATTATCCAGTTGTTTCAGTAACTTGTTACCAGATAATAGAGATTATTAGATAGGAAACTTTGTTTTCTGATATAAAAAATTTAAGTGTTTTATAGTTACATAATCCTAATTTGTATGTTCTGTAGTATATACAGTGCATTCATGTTTCAGTAAAGTCATTATTCTCAAATTTATGTGAATTTTAAAAATCAGATAATGTTTGTATTCACTGTAAGTTTTCAGCAACGAAGAGGTCAGTCCATGGTCTAGCCAAAATTATATGAAATAATTTCTTTAATTTTGGAAAATAAGTGAATCCACTAGATTGTTTCTTATCTCCAATCTATCAGAAAATAATCTTTGTATTTACTTTTATTATTCAGAAGTACTGTATTTTTAAATGTGTGATCCACAAAGAGATTTACATTTTTGAAATATCCTCTCACCGCTTAAGTTGCTTCGACTATTATAGGGAGAAATTAAAATGAATCTCAAGGAGAGTTACTCATTTTTGTATAGTGATTTGGTGCTATATATTCTAGAACTGCAAGCCTCTTTTAAAACACATAGTCATGCTATTCTGGAGAGTCATCCTGAGAGTCGAACTCTGTTTCTGACCTCTAACTCTGATCAAGCGTGCACGTTTCAGTCTTTGGTTTCTGCTGCTTGAGAACCTATTTCCAACAGATCAGAGCTGCTTTGCGGAAAGGCTGAGCTTGCATGGACTCACCGTGCCGAGAAAGGGGTACCGTCAGGCCATCTGGGGGAGAGGTAGAGAATGACATCCTTCACCTCGGACAAGGTGTTGGCTGCTCCTGGATCTCGGTGACATGGCGCTCAGCTGTCCCTGGGCACTGCAGCCCGTTTCCTAGCGTGGTTCTCTGTGGGCAGACCTTCCTGTGCAGACAGTCCCTAACGTCTGTTCACAGAAGACTGGTCACACAAGGTCTCTTCCAAAGTCATTTTCTCTGTCTGAAGGCGTCTTTTTCCTCTGCTAAAATGAATTTTTAGAAATATGATTCTTCTCAGGGATTTGTTTGGACATCATGGTACCTAATGCAATTATTTGGCATGTGTAAAATCTCATATGTGGTTGCTATGTGTAAAATCTCATCTCTTGCTTGAGAGTGTAATAGGTTCATCTAATATTTCTTTTAGCCTGTCGTTTTGATCACATGAACAGATGGTTAGTACTTCTCATATACCCATAGATTCATATAGATAGGAATGTTTTTGGACATTCCTTGAAATTGCTTTATTCCTGCCCTAGGTATGTAACAAGACACTGTGATAGGTGGTATCTCATGATCTCCTAGAGGAATGTGTGGACCGTTGGCCTTATATACTCTTACATGTTAAAGTGGTGATTATTCCCTCTCCTTTGCCCCCATTCTGTGAGTGTTAACATTGTCCTAGACTTTGTGATCTTGTGATACACATAGGTGCAAAAATGTTTTCCGCTTCTGAATCCTTCCCAATGTTCTTAATTGCAGAATCTGTTTTATGTATTCCAAACTCTTCATTTGTAAGCTGATAGTCAAATATTGAAGGAAAAATTCTTGCTGTGAAAAAATTTTTTTTTACTTTCTACCTTCATTTGGAAAACCAAAGGTTATACTAAGGAGAGCTAGAGAAGATTTTTAATTTTTCTGTTTCGTTGTTATTCTGTTATATAATTAGGATCTATAGGATAGTGGAATCATCAAAGTTTTAGGAATGTCAGCTTTGCATGTGAAGGTGATCTGCCTGCGACATCTGTCACTCCATTGGTCGCCAGGGTTGATTCGGCTGATCTGGCTGGCTAGGCGGGCGTCCCCTTCCTCGCTCAACGCTCCATGTGCGTCCCTCCCTCGGTCGAAGAGGACGACCATCCCCGCTAGAGAAGGACCAGTCTTTGGTCAAGGGTGTACGAGCAGCTGCACTCCCCTATTAGAACCTCCAAACAAGCTCTCAAGGAAAGTTAGCTTAGATTTAGAAATGTTTTCCTCATTCAGATAAAGGTACCAGCATATACAAATACATGTGTATATACATATGTAGATATATCAAGCACATATATGCTTTATATGTCTATATTTATACATATGACATAAAATTTACATACCTGTATATACTCTTGAAGTATATATATAACCGATAGATAGTTTATATATCTATACATACATGCCTGAAGTACCAGCAGTACCATATGGGCACCAGTTATATTCCTGAATACTCTACTCCGAGAATATCAGCAGAGAATAATCCAGGTGATGGGGCCCCTGAACCTATGTGGGATGCCCAGAAGTTCCTGGCTCCTGGCTTTAGACCGACCCAGTTCTGCCTGTTGTGGCCAGAGAACCAGAAAATGGAAAAGCTCTCTGTATCTTACAAACTCTGACTTTCAAGTAAATAAATACATTTTTGAAAAAGAAAAACAGAACAGTAGCTATGATCATTTCTGTAAAAATACTTGTTAGGTGTGTGTTGTGTATAACTGTCTCAATGCTTAGTGTTTTGTTGGGGTATTGGGA